TTATTTGCACTTCTTATATGTAAAAGCAATATTCAGTATTCAAGTTGTATGATTCAAACAGAATGGAGATATAGTAGTGGTCATTAAAAATCCATTGAATACATTTTCAAAGGTGAAACCCTTCAAACTCAAAGTCTTCTTCAGGTCCAGGGGGTGGAAAGTGTGCCCGTATACACATTACAGCACAAGATGGCAATACAACTCGTACATCCTTTCCCAAAAAGCCCCAACGCCACCTTGCCAGTTGTCGGTAGGCAATATGTCTATACTGTTTATGTTCAGGTCCTACGTATGCATCTTGATATTGTTGCTTATATTGCAACCAAGCAGTTTTCAGCACCCATTTATTCAGGCATACAGATGCAAAACCAGGATGTTGTGTAATGCACATTGGGGCAGGCTGATTGGCGTATGGCTCTCCTTCATTTGGTAAACTTTTACAAGTTGTCAAGGTAGCATTAATTTCTTGGCAGCAAATARACTCTGTTTCGGTATCCATAACAGTACAGATATCTCCACACTGGCACCTAAGCAAATCAAAAATTCTTTCAATAAACAGCTTCTTAAAGTATATATATACACACTAAAAATCTATGACTCTAGAGATAAATAACACTATTGTAAAACAGTGTTTTTAATCGGTTCACATTTGGTGAAAACCACTCTAACGTAATTTTTTGCGATCGACTTGTCTTTTCAAACATGCATTTATAAAACCCGAGGTTGAGAGCATTATTTGGTTATTTAGCTTCAGAAGTTTTCCTCGTAAATAACTTAGTTACAAGATCAAATAGTTCGACCACTGACGGCTACGATAAAGTTAAGARATTAAACATCAAGAAGCTAAGTATGCAGTAAAGTGAAGAATGAATGAACTTGTAAATAATGACATGAATGCAGTTTTACATTAAAAAAAAAACACATAACAAATAGAGCTTCTTTATACTCCAGATTTTGTACATACCATTCTAAATTGTTAAGGCGACTTTCTTCATTTATACTTTCTCCGTCCTGTTCTTCGTCTTCGCTGGTAGCGTCTTCTGCGTTGTTTACATCTCTTTGTGGCTCATACATGTAAGGCGTAATTGTAAACTCGCTCAATTCTTCTAAATACTCATCATCACTACTACATGACGAGCTAGACGACATTTCGTCAGTAACTGAATCGGAATCCATTGAATCCATCATCAAAAATGACAATACTTTTCTTAAAACACTAGATATTCCTTCACTCGCCTTCTCTGCTCAAATGATGGCTGGAATCCTTCACTATATGACGTCACGGCTGATTTTTCTTGAGCCCGCGCTACAATGGCAAGATGGCGGGCAGCAGAGAGGCGCTGGCGGGTATTTCAAATGTCAAATTTCGATATCAAAAAAGCTCTTCGGGTACAAAAAAGTAGTTTTTTGGTTTCGCCATTTGATGTACTTTTTTCCCAAAATGGGTCAATTTGGGGGTTCAGTTGCCCTTTAAAATTTTTGCTTGATGCAATCCCCAAAAAAGATATTGGACACTGATCGCTGCTTTGTTTGTGGTACTCATCTCTCATCGGACAAAATTCTTCTATTTAGTAGAAGTAATTGGAATTTTCCAGAGCTTATAAAGTCCAGTCTAAAAGTAGATGTGACATCCTACAATGCTTCAAGCAACTTATCGATTTGCCGCGAATGCTACAAGCTACTAATCAAATACAAGAAATCGTCTGACAATACAGAAAATATATTATTAAGGGAACAGTTGAACGTCAAGTACAAGAGTCAGGAACCCCTTCAAACAAAGAGATTGTATGTTGAAGAGAAAGACGAAGAAAGGCGGAAGGATTTCAACACTACCTCTTGCACTTCTTCGATCGTAGGAAATAATGTAGCCCCTACTAGAAAACCCCAGGATTTTGTTGGTTTGTCGTTTATACCATCTCAACGGCCATTTCAGCCCGTCAAACAAGCATTTGCCCAGCCATTTCCACATCTTTCTAAAACTCCTGCAGTTTTACCCGCGCCGATACAAACATCAACGCCGATCTCGACCGCCAAGACTCAAGTTAACAGCTCGCATGGAACCTCCAACACTTTAGTAAGAGTAGCATACCCAAGTAAAGTTTTAAATAAGCGTTTATTTCGGGGATATCAGACTATAGGAAAGGCATTAGCACATGGAATTCCATCTCAAATACCATCTGCAATAATGAACCCCTCGAAATTAAGAAATATAGTCGTAGCGAAGACATTGAAGCTCATTTCCAATGAGGTCACTTCACTGTGTTCAACAAAAAGTCCATCTCTATTGAGAAAGTCTTCCAAAGAAGATCTTGCGAGGTTTGATTTACAGAAAATCTGCAATGAATGGAAACAGAGAGCACCATTGTTCTACTCATTTCTCTTGACGTGTGCTCTTAATAAAAGGACCAAAGATAATAATTGATTTCCAATCGTGACTGTAGCAGGATCGATTCTCCTTAAACAAAGAAGTGAGAAAATGGATGCAACTGCATGTGTACTTGGAGTCCTACTCAAGACAAAGTCTGTGGAGGTATGATCTTGATTATATCATTAGGGAAGTTATCTTAAATATAAAAACGCAGGAAGTAACAACAGAATGTATTAAACACTTAATAATAATTTATAGGGCTCAGAAACCACTGATTTAAGATCATCAAAAATCAGAAATCACTGATTTAAGATCATCATGCCTTATAGATAGACATTGTTCAAGGGTACAAATACCAGTAATTGAGTATTGTATGACAAGATGATATTGATACATTACAT